GAAAGAGGGGCTTCCTCTGAGTGGCTTTTCAGTCTCAGTTCTCTTAGGAGACCCAGAGATTCCTGGGTCTGGGACAAAGAAGGAGAAATCATTAAATGAATTACAGAATTATTCTACCTACCCAAGTGCCAGGACGGGAGCAGATTAAAGGCAGTCTATCTCCCTAAAGTCTGTGCAGCTGCTCCAGGGGTGTGTGTGTATGTGTTGAGGGGTTGGACCCAGAGAAAAATCAGGAGTGGCCTGGGCACCCATCAGTCTTGGGAGAAGGAAGTTCCCTTTCTCCCCATGGTTGCTGCCCTGTAGACACCCCAGCCTGACCCTTCCCGGTGCCTGAGGACCAAGGTAGGTGGATGTCATCTCTTCTTCTCAGACAATGACTCTGGGCACCTTTGCCCAAGATGATGTGACAGTGACGGCCCTGTCCCAGAGAGGTTCTGTGGTCCCTGGGGTAGGCTGGGTGGTCCCAGAGTAGGGAGCTCTGGGCCGAGGCGCTCTCGAATCAGCTCCCACAGGACAGGGTCTTCCTCTGCATTTCCCACAAACACTTGCTGTGCCACTTGACAGCCTTCTCATTCCATTCCCCTGCAGCCCCGTCCCGGCCCCACCACACCCCTACACATTCCTTCCCCCACTTCAACTTCTAGCTCAGAGGCAGGGGCACCTCACCTACCACCGCTCTCAAAGTAGGGGGGCTGGGAGCTGATGCAGTGTCTCGCCCTCTCCTTTGTCTCCCTTGCCTTCCCTGACATAACCTGCAGGCCAGGAAGGGGCCTGGACAAACATCCCGCTACCACCATCACCCAGGCCTCTGCTTATCTAACTGAAACCCTTCTTGCTGCAATCCCAGCTGTTCCGGTGGGACAGACAATGGACTGAAGAGTTTGCTTTTCTCTGCCTCCCGCCCACTCGTACCCTCATAAAAGGTGGGCCCGGAATGGTGCCCTCTGACCCTCCCCCTCCATCCCTTGCAACTGGCCGGAGCCCGCTCTCATCTTCTCTGCTTCCCTTCTAGCCCTGCAGCCAGACTGGGAGCCCTAACAAGGCTTCAGCAGTCTGATTCCTTCTGTTTATAGAGGAGGACCCAGAGGCCAGAGAGGGGCAATGCCTTGCTGCAGGTCACACAGCAAGGCAGTGACAGTGCCTGGGTTTGAACCCAGGTGTCCCGGTCTCCAGCCATAACCCCATGCGTGGCTGGCCGAGGAGCTGCTGAGGAAGCAGCAGCGCTTCATGATAGGGCTTCGGAGACACTGTTTGTCTGAGGGGCACCAAGGTAACCCCTGTGGTAGTACAGGGAGGGGGCGCTCGGAGGACACCCAGCTTCTCTGCAGCCTCGGTAGGGAGGGCGTCGTGACCCAGGTCGGCTTGCCTGGAACAGCTGGATTTCTGGGAACACTCCTCTCTTCTCTGTGGGGCCTGGTTGTGGGTGGTGGTGGTAGTGGTGGTGTGGTGTGTGTGTGTGTGTGTGTGTGTGTGTGTGTGTGTGTGTGTGTGGTTCACTAGTCCCTGTGGCCTTTAGCCTAGAGAGTTGGGGAGACACGGAGAGGCAGGAGATGCATGACGAGAAGAGGGTTACGTGGTGGGGGTTGCAGCTCCCCCCAAGCCTACGGTCAGAGTTGGGTGAAGGGCAGACTCATGGTGCCAACCTCTGTCCTTCTGAAAGCCTCAGGTCACAGCAGGGGCTTGGGGGAGTTCTCGGTGACCTTTTCTGTACTTGTCGCTCACTCTAGAATTGCCACTCCTGGCCCACAGACGGACAGGACTGTGTCCCCTATCCTTAGAAATTTGCTTTCTGCATGTTCTCCATTAGCTGCTGGGGTGCCAGTGGGGTTTGGGGAGATGTGAAGCACATCTTTTTTCTTAGCCTGTCCCCCACTGCTCAGGCTTGCTCCCCAGCAGTGAATGGGAAGTGGGGAGCAGTCACTTTCCAGGGGACTCTGAAAAACTGAGGCTTCTGGTAGGCGGCAGAGAGGAACAGTCAGCTGACCTGGTCCAGGAGGCCCCAGGACGATGAAACCAGGTAGAAAGGAGGGAGAAAGAAGGGGGGAGGGGTAACATCCGAAGGAAAGCGAGAGGAAGGGGAGACATGCTCGGAACCCTTCATGGTCTGGGCACTGGGGTTGGAGTTTAGCCCAGGGCTGGGGCTGGTCCTGTCTGCCCCGTTTCCAACAGAGGCGGGAACCTGTGAGCTCACACCCCACTGGCCACTAGCTCTGGGGCCTGGTGAGGTCCCCGCTATGTCGGTGCGGGTGACATTTATGTATGGAGAGTAGGGGGGCGTCCTGGCCTGGCCTTCCCAAGTGGAGGAGGAATGGAGGCATGCAGATCAGGGCCCTAGGCAGACCTCACTGTGGCCTGGGAACCGCACATTCCAGCCTAGAGTGGAGAGCGGGCTGGACAGGGCAGACATTCAGCTGGTATGTCCCAGCACGGCCATCTGATTGGCCAGCTGTGGCTCCAGTCCCTCAGTCCCCTCATGCCTCTCTGACCAGCGCTACCACTTCCTGGGTGCTTGGAACCTCCCCAAAGTCCAGAAACTGAGGGGCGTTTGTCTGGCCCAGCACTGGGTACAGCTCTGGGCGGGCTGCGTCCGAGCCATAAGAGGTGTCATCCTCAGCTGCGGGGACCAGTGCCCCACTGGGACTTGGGAAAGCTGGCCGTGGGCACCGCAGCTCTGAGCACTCTCTGCCTTGCCTCCCCTGATGCTTCTGGGCGTGTTGTGGAGGAGTCGGGCCTGGGTGAGTGGGCCAGTTTGCAGAGATGTGGGCAGGGCCATCTCTCCGGGGCTACGCAGCCTCCCTGAGCCACAGTTTCCCTGTCTGGAAAACAGATGCACAAACACTTGCCTCGTGGAGCCAACCACACAGCCACCCAGGAGGCGAGCTGGGAAGGACACCCTGGGAGAGGTGCAAAGTGCTATGAAGGTGTGGAAGTGAAGTAGCCAGACTAGCTGGAATGGACATCAGGAAGGCCTTCCCGCAAGAGGTGGCGCAGGACACTCATTCCAGAACTCCAGCCTGTGAGCCCTGCTTAGGCGAGGCCCTGGAGCTACAACAATACGGAAGGGGCTTCCTGTCTGGAGGGGAACCAGAAGAGGAAACTGAAGATGGGAATTCTCCAATGGCATGTAATTGCTGGCAATAAGGGAAGACTTCCTGGAAGAGGTGACACTTGACTAGAAAGTCTTGATGGAGGAACAGTTTAGCCAACCGAGTGGAGTAGGGATTTAGAACAGGCCGAGGCAGGTGGCCTAGAGGACTCTTATCGCTCACTCTGAGCTCCCAGTGCTTTTCTGAGTGACAGAGACTTTGATGATGGGCAGGGCAGGAGATTAGACCTTCTTCGGAAACATCCCCAGAAAAGCCCACAGGGACAATACCTCTCCTTCAGGAGATGAGCACCACGCTCCCTTCCCCGCCCTCTGGGACAGCATGTCTCTGCCAGAGAATTTAAACAAACAAGCAGACACTAGAGGCGGGTCTGGCTCACACACGGAGCTCCACTGTGTCTGCTCCCAGCATGAGGGCAGGAGGACAGAGGACACTAGCCCGTGACAAGCACAGGGCCCCTGGGCTAGGATAGGGCCGAAAGCAGAAGGGCAACTTTCTCCAGTCTAACTCCCTCTCTGTCCCTCCGCCAGGTACCCAGAGCCCTCCCGTCTGCCTGTCACAGGCGTGTGGGGACGTGGAAACAGCCCTCAGCAGGGAAGTCCAGAGTCTGCTGCACGCTGGGTGACATCGGCCAAGGCAGCTCCTCTTTCTGGGCCTCCCAGACCAAGCACGAGGTCACGCCCCTCAGTGTGTGTCTCTGTGAGACTGGAGCAGTGACACTGACACTCCAAATGCCTTCGCTGAGGCTGGAAGTCACATCTTTCGGGGCTGTATATTTGAAAGGCTCTCAGAGAGGGTAATGCTTCACTCAAAGAAATCTAGTACTAACAGCAAATCTGGGGCCAAGCACCAGGTGATGCAGGGGAGGTGTGGTCTCAGGGAACTCCTCAAATCCCAGCAGGTAAGAAACTGCCTCCTCCTCGGGCCAGGAGCTGGCATAGCAGTTATGTCACTAGGCTCCCACATGGCCGACCACGGTTTGAGTCCTGGACCTGGTGGTGGCTTGAAACTCACGCTGGGCACCTGTGCGTGTGTGTCCAAGACCCCAGGAGGAGAATGGAGGAGAAGAGATTGTGGCATGGCCATCCCTCTGGGGGTGATTTCTCACTGTCCCTCTCACTGTCTCTTTTGTCTCTCTCTCTCCGGCAAGTGCACATGCCCTAAAGCAAAAACCTCTGGGGAAAAAAAAAAAAAGGAAAAACAACAACAAAAAAGAAACTGCTTCCTCTGTTATCAGGAAGGCTGGGTACTCTGTCCTTTTTAAAGGCACGGGTTTGGTGACCCTGTACTATGAAGAGCCCCAGTGCCACCAGCTCCCCCTTGCCCATCCCTCTACCCCTGCATAGCATGTAATAGAAGACAGACTGGGTTCGAATCTTGGATCATTGCTTCCAAACTACAAACCTTTGAGCAAGTTGCTTCATTTATCTAAGCCTCAGTTTCCTCATCCGTAAAATGGGGTTCATGAATCACACCTCCCAGGGTTGTAGGAGATAGATGGGGATAGCAGAAACAAGCCAAGCTCCCGGCCTAGAGTAAGTGTCATAAAGTGTCACTTCCCCCTTTCCTTTCTCCTGTCTCTACCCTCACTAGCCAGCACTATTAGAGAATGCAAACCCACCATCTTCTGAGTAAAGACAAATAGAAAGGAACAGGAAAATGGGTTTACCCTGCCCCCTAGTCAAAAAAAAAAAAAAAAAAAAAAGAAAGAAAGAAATCACACAATGCATGCCAAAGATGACCAGGGGTTGGAGGTATGTTGGCTTCCTTCCTTAGTAAGCCATTCTTTCGAGCAACTATGTCACCAGGTTGACACTGAGTTGGCTGCAATGCGGATTCCTTCAGGGAAGTCCCAGGAATAAAAGAGGCAGGGACCCAAGGTGCCCCCCAACCTCCCAGCAAGAATGGCCCTTCCCCCAGGGCCCATAGGCCCCGGGCAGGAAGCCTGGCCCATGACCCAGGCCCCCCCAGGATGGGTCACTAAGATAAAGCCAGTTAATGATTGGCCCCCTGAGAGGGTAATCCTTACCATCCTGCCTGTCTTGCCAGACCAAGGGTGCAGGCTGGGGCATGGGAAGTAGGGAGACCTCCAAGAATCATCCTGGCCTGGCACCCTCATGATAATCAGAGAAGCAGACAAAGAGTCCAAGGATCTCAGCATCCCCAGGACTCTTGGGCATCCTCAGAGATGGGGCAGGTGGGGAAGGTACAGGAGAGGCAAACCCAGCACACTCAGTGTTACCCACTCCATTTATTAGCGTTGCACTTGGAACTCACTCGAACACAAGGGTCCACAGCTAAGGAAGTGTGAAAATCCCTTCACTGGCCAGATGGGCAGAACGAGGCCCAGAAGTGTCCAAAGCCATGCAAGGAAGCAAGACCTGAAATCGAATCTCACAGCCTAGTGCTCTTTCTACCCCATTCAAGGGCCACTTAACCCTTAATCAGGGTTCAGCACTGAGCTAGGTGCCTTTGGGACACATAGGGCTTCTGTCCCCAAGAGCCAACTGGCTGGTTGGGGAGCCAGGCAGTGCCAGGGATGGGTCCTGGCACAAGTGCTGTGTGCACTGGAGCTGGCCAGCACTGGGCCCAGGATCTGTGTACTCTGCCTTCTCATCTGGAATATGAGCACAAGGCCTGGTGCCTGGCAGCCCTTGAGAACAATTGCGAAAAATATGCAGATTGAGACCAGCAGTTAGCGTAATGGCTATGTCGCTGGACTCCCACGTAGTCGACTGCGGCTCGCGTCCCGGACCCGGTAGCTTAAACTCACACCAGGCGCGTGTGCGTGTGTGCCCAAGATCCCGAGAGGAGAATGGAGGAGAAGGGATTGCAGCGTGGCCATCCCCTCGAGGGGTGATTTCTTGCTTTCTGTCTCTCTGTCTCTCTCTGTCTCTCTGGCGAGCACAGGTGCCATATAGCAAAAACCTCTTCAATAAAAGAAAAAAAAATATGCAGATTGGAATGAAGTTGAATTCCCAGGCAGGGCCCAGGTCAGTAGGGCAGGTACAGTTTGGGGACCTAGCTGCCACCATGTGCCACCAAGACTGGGGGTATGAATAGGGGCAGCGATGGGCATGGTGAGCATCACATTTGAGAAGGTGCAAGACTGGGGTGTTAGGAGGTGGGTGTGACTGCTGGGGAGAAGTGTCGGAGTGAGGGCGTTACACTGGGGTCCATGAGGGAGAGGCAGAGACTCAGCTGGAGTGGCATGCATAGATGTGCCCCGGAGACAGTGGCCCTGCCCCACCCCTCCTGCTGGCTCCTCCTCCTTTTTCTCTCCCCTCTTCATGACTGGGTCCTCTGGGAGAGTTAGCCTTCCTGGCTTCTTCTGCCCCAATCTCTTCATCAGCTGGCCCTTATTTCCTCTCACGAGCCCAAGTCAAAGCTCCAGATCTACATGGGGTATGTTCTTGCCTCTTCCTGCTTTCTCCTCTTGTTTGTTTGTCAGAGAGTGTCTGCACTCACCAGAGAGAGAGAAAGCAGGGGAAACACCCCATAATGGTGGAGGTCACATGGCAATCCCTTCTCTTCTGTTTCTCTACCCTTTTGGGATTTGGGGCACACATGCACCCAGTATATTTTTCAAGCTGCTTGGGTGGGTCTTGAACCATGGTCGACCATGTGGGATTCGGCTCTCTGAACCGCCAGGCCATGGGGCCCGGCCCTTTCTTTGTCTTTCTGTGGCTTTGTTGTGAAGACCTAGTGACAGGAAAACACTTTAGAGAGAGAGATTGACCGACTCACAACCAGAAACGGGCAACTGAAGGCAACTACCCCAGTTCTCTCTCCACCAATTTGTCAGGCTCGTGTCCCCACCTTTCCTCAGGGGCAGTGCCCTGCAAGACCCCTGCGGATTGGCATGGAGCAGAGAAGCCCCCTGCCATCACAGAGAACCCCTCAGGGAAACGTGTAGACAACAGCAAGTCCCAGCAACCCCTCCTCATCTTCTTTCCCTCCTCCCTAGAGGCTCTGTCCTTTCACCCATGGCTTCCAGATTCACTTGCCCACACCCCTAGAGGTGAGAGCTTCTCTGCGCGCTGGAGGTGACAGGACGCCAGGACAAAGTACAACCATTGTGCCTTGAGCCCGATCACTACTTCCTTTGTCTGGAGCTACTGCTGGCTCCTGGCTGCCTTTCACACTCTTCTCCACCCCTGCCCTATCCCTCTCTCTCCTTCCCCTCACCTGGAACACCTTCCCCTTCCTCCTTGGCACCTTCTGAACTGCCTTCAGAGGCACAGGCCGTGGCCGCCCCAGTCTTGCTGTGAGGCCCTCCAAGCGGAGCTGAGGGTGCCCGTAGGCTAGGACCTCTGTCTGGGCTGCTCTCTGCTCCACCTCCCCACCCCCAATTTTCTGGGCAATCTTGGGTACATCTGTGCCCTCTCTGAGCCTTTGGGGTATTCTCCATGTGGACAGTTTCCTCCGACACCCTCTAGCACAGGCCGTGGCCGCCCCAGTCTTGCTGTGAGGCCCTCCAAGCGGAGCTGAGGGTGCCCGTAGGCTAGGACCTCTGTCTGGGCTGCTCTCTGCTCCACCTCCCCACCCCCAATTTTCTGGGCAATCTTGGGTACATCTGTGCCCTCTCTGAGCCTTTGGGGTATTCTCCATGTGGACAGTTTCCTCCGACACCCTCTACCCTGTAGCCATATTGGCAGGGGAGATAAATGGAATCGAGGTTGTTCTAG